GATAATAATAATGATAATTCATTGTAGCTGTTGTTATTATTATTATTATTATTATTATTAATTATTATTATCACCATCATTATCCTAATCACAATCTATCATCATTATCATTCATTATCAATCATCATCATCATCATCATCATCATCATCATCATCATCACAATTATTTTGATGTATTAGTGTTATAGTTGTTGCTGTTGTTTTTATTTTAGCAGTACTGCTTTTATAGTCTTTTAACTTGTTATATATTGTTTGTTTCTCTATTATTCTTCCTTTTTTTCTTTTCTCATTTTCACTGGGATAGGTAGTAGATTTGCCCTTCATTAGGGACTCATCTACATATAACAAAATCAGTTGCAGAATTATTGCATTTACACTTTAATTAATTTAAGATTTTTTTCACAAAATGCTTCTGGTCTGTGGATGGCCTAGTGGAAGTGATGAGGTATGGAGGTCGAAACCCAAACATCAATTTCCGTGCGTGCATCCCTTTGTTGTTGACACTGGACTTGCAAAGAAGCCCCGTATAAGGTGGTTTCCGGGGTTGTTACGCTGTAGTCCATTATTAAGTTACACTATGTTGTACTATTTATTTATTTTATTTATTTATTTTTTTTTTTTTTTTTTTTTTTTTTCTTTTTTTTAGTTTATTTCTACAGTTTAGTTATTCCGTTATTCTCTTTCATTTTATTTTTGGTGTTGCTTAGTGGTAGCACTAAGGTTTACTATTTTTGGTACTTTGTATTTGAAGCTATGTAAAAATGATAGTTTTCGTATTAAATATTGTAGAAAATCCCCCCCAAAATAGGCACATTCACTCTTGACAGATAACAGGAGCTGGTCATGGCATTGGACGCGAGTTGTCCCTCCAGCTGGCACGTCTGGGAGCAAAAATTGTCTGCTTGGACATTGATGAGGTAGGTCACAAAAGCAAGAATGAATTTTAATCATCGTCAGGTAAAGAGAAGTTATGGATAAATGTTGAGATTATGCTTCAAAGGTTTAATTTGTATAAATCCCACAAAAAAGGGTCTGTGAATATTTTATTTACAGAGGGGAAAAGTAACTTCCTTTTCATAACCCACAGGCTAACAACCAGAAAACTGTTGCGGATATTTGCCGTGAAGGTGGAGCCGCTTATGGATACAAATGCGATGTAACAAGCAGAGATGAAGTGAGAACTGTGGCTAATGAGGTAGGTTTTCCTCCTTTTTTCTCACTCTCATTTTTATTATGCAACATTTAGGCTTTTGCATATTGTATGTGAACACAATGTGATTTTCAGTTTTGAGTGAAGCAAATCAAGTTGTGCATGAACTACACAACCAAATTATAATTTTTTTTTTTTCCCCAGATTCGTGAAGATGTTGGTGAAATAACTATTCTTGTGAATAATGCAGGGATAATGCCCTGTAAGCCGTTCATCAAGCACACTCCGGAGGAGATTGAGAGGATCTTCAGAGTCAACGTATTCGCACACTTTTGGGTTAGCTTCAGAAGGATATATGTATATATGTATTCACTGATTTCAGATAAATGAAAATGGCAATTATTATAGTGGCCAAAATAATTAAAGTTAGGAAAGTGCATACTCTGGCTCCCTTATAAGATTAAGGATTTTGTCTGAATATGCCCAATGAAACGCTTTTACAGATGCTGAAAGAGTGGCTACCAACTTTTATAGCCATGGGACGTGGCCATGTTGTCGCCATGTCTTCTATTGCTGGACTTATGGCAACCAGTAATCTTGTGCCTTATTGTGCTTCTAAATATGCTGTTAAAGGTGAGTGCGATGCATATTATTGTTCAAAAAAGAAAAAAAGTTAATTTTATCCAAAGTCAGATGATGTCAGATAGTAATAATGAATTATGAATAATCAGCAAAATAGTGTTAGGTAGTTTTGATATTGTTATTATTATTATTATTATTATTTTTTTTTATTGTAATTATTTTTTATTGTAATTATTTTTATTATTGTCATTATTATTATTATTGTCAATACTAATGATATAATAGTGATAATGATAATAATAGTAATAATAAAATGATGATGGTGATGGTCGTGGTGATAATAATGATGATGATGATGATAGGGATAATGATGATGATGATGATGATGATGATTGATGATGATGATGATGATGATAATTATAAAGAAAAAAATAGTTATTATAATAACAAAAATGATAACAATAATGATAATAAATATGATATATAATATAATAAAATAATAATAATGATGATGATTATAATCTTTATTATAATGATAATGATAATAATAATGATAATTTATTGTAGCTGTTGTTATTATTATTATTATTATTATTATTAATTATTATTATCACCATCATTATCCTAATCACAATCTATCATCATTATCATTCATTATCAATCATCATCGTCATCATCATCATCATCATCATCATCATCATCATCATCATCATCATCATCATCATCATCATCATCATCATCATCATCATCATCATCATCATCATCATCATCACAATTATTTTGATGTATTAGTGTTATAGTTGTTGCTGTTGTTTTTATTTTAGCAGTACTGCTTTTATAGTCTTTTAACTTGTTATATATTGTTTTCTTATTATTCTTCCTTTTTTTCTTTCTCATTTTCACTGGGATAGTGTAGATTTGCCTTCATTAGGGACTCATCTACATATAACAAAATCAGTTGCAGAATTATTGCATTTACACTTTAATTAATTTAAGATTTTTTTCACAAATGCTCAGGTCTGATGGATGGCCTTGTGGAAGAGATGAGGTATGGAGGTCGAAACCCAAACATCAAATTTACGTGCGTGCATCCCTTTGTTGTTGACACTGGACTTGCAAAGAAGCCCCGTATAAGGTGAGCTTTCAGGGGTTGTAACGCTGTAGTTCATTATTAAGTTACACTATGATCTACTATCTATTTGTTTATTTATTTATTATTATTATTTTTTATTTATTTATTTATTTATTTATTTATTTTTTTTTTTTTTTGGGGGGGGGGTATTTTTAATGTTTTCATTGTTCAGATTTACAAATAATGTCATATGGGGAAACTTTCTGTAATTTCAAAAGTGATTTGCATGAAAAAACTTAAGACTATTGTACTTGTGACAGGTTGCTTTGATATTTCATTTTTAAGAGCTGATTTGTAACCATGTGATACTGGCTAATTTCATGATTGGGGATCAGTGCTGCATTTTTTAAAGAGAAAATAATGGTCCTACATTATTTTTGCGAAATATTTGCATAGAAAAGCAGCCCAGGTGATTTTAGGCTAAAAGAAAAAGGTGCATTTTGATAAGCTGAAATCAGGGCAGATAAAATGCCTTTACTCTGCATTTCTCTTTAAAGCACCATAATATTCTTGGAGTTTAAAAGAAAATTATTAGTTTTAACTCAGGTTTCTGGTTTAAGTTGTCAAGACTTCTGTTGATATGTCAGAAGAATTCATCTTCCCAACGTGTATGAAGGAAGTTTGACTGGTCAATGCATATATAACTCGTTGTGGGTCATTAGCGGCGTCGTTGTGGGGATTAGTAAAACTCAGGAGTTGGTGAGCTTAACTCTCTGTATTGAGTAGGACCAACATGGCACGAATGAGGGTTACTTACATTACGGTCATAAAAGAGGTGGCGTACATGAAGGAAAACGTACTTTTACGTGGGTAACCTTAACAATATAGAATTTCACCTTAGTTTAGGTAATGTGAGGTATATCATTGATACATGAGATAAAAGTATCCTTAATAACCATCTTTGATTATTCCAACAACTCCCTTCATGAAGTTGAATTTTTCAATCTATATTTGTATTTTATCTGTTTTATATTGATATGATATTCATATTTTTTTTTCTTTTTTTCAGTGTACATACAGTATACCTTTTTGGTGCATGCATTTGACAGTACTTTTTATAAATGAGAGAGACATATTGACATCAAATGCCCTGATACTGAAGATCTGAACTGTTGCTTAGTTATATTACATTACCAATGCATGGAAAGAATTAATTTTTTGTTAAACTAGTGTGTACCAGGATTTCAAGGGTTAACTGTTATTTTTTTTTTCCCCTTTATAAAATGTAAGGTGTTCATTCCTTAATCCAAGGTGTATGTAACTTAATTTGTAAACATTTTTTTTTAATCTTCTATTAATGCTTTCCTCTAAATGGTTCTATGTCACAGCATAGGGAAAACAAAACTATGATGGTTCTCATTTTTTTAACCCATTGCTGCCGGGGACGGCATGTACGTACATGCCATGCCCACTGTGAGTCGACTTGTTCGATTGTTTTTACACATAGATGGCTACACTTGTGGTAAGTATCCAATGAGCCAATTACAAGTACTGCCTTGTCTTCACCCTATTCATCGATTTACGAAAACATTTAACGTTATCCTAATTTGCTGTTAAAAATAACACCATCTATATTTATAGCACAAGTAAGAATACGTTTTTTTCCCGCCAATTCAAGGAAAAGTGAAATCAAGACTAGCAGAGCCATCTATGGACAGAGATATTTCACAAAAATATAAAAAATAAGTACTGAATTTCCCCCATTTTTTGTTAATTTTCCCCGGCGGCAATGGGTTAATATGAATTTCTTATTTTCAGTTTATAGAATTGAAATTTGATGTCTTTGGTACTAATATTACTCTAACCCATTTAGATTTCCATCCTTCAACCCAATAACAACAGCCAAGAGTTGCGCTCAGCAGGTTGTCAGTGGCATACTTCAGGAACTGGAAGTTGTATGCATCCCTGCTAAAGACTTCTATGGTTACAAGATGATGCAGTAAGAACTTGTCTAATTATAGAACTATAACTTGTCTTACCTTCAACCCACATTCTGCTTTCTACTTGTAGGTTCCCTTCCTTAACTCCTGTGCTAACTCCTGAGACTGCTGCAGAGGCCATTATCAATGCTGTGCAGTTAGAAAAGCCTGAGGTCTTACTTCCCTTTCAAGCTGCAGTGATACATTATATTCTTCG